GAGAGAGGGGGAAGGCGATATTTCGGGGGAGTGGGGGTGTCGGTGGGGAATGGGTCTCACTGGTTGGGAGGATAAGGGGAAAGGGGGGAGGCCGCAGCTGGGCCGGCCGGGCAGCCTGGTGGCCTGTTGGGTCGTGGCCCGATCTCAATTAAACCTCATGTTTGGATATTTTAGTGCTATTTGAGCCCAAAGTAGCTCTAATTCATGGATCCAAACAAGGCCATTATAGCACGAAAGCATTCGTAGTGCAACTTTCGGGCATTTCCTATTTAGCGCCACAGGCGCCGGTTTTAGTTGTTTCTAAAGGTTCTTTTAGTCTGTCTTTAATCCTGAAAAAACAAATGCGCACTGCTTGCGATTCGAACTCGCGACCCACCTTTCCTACTTGGGATAGTGCAACCATCGCGCCAGCTAACTAGGATACATCAAAATTGTACTTTCTCATTGTTGTATTCTTTATTTTCCCTATTTCCTTTCCTTTTTCTTTTTTTCTTTACCATTTTCTGTTTTTATTTTTTCCCTCCTGGTTCATTGAATTCTTTGCAAATATGTAAACTTTTCTTTTAAATCCGATGGACTTTTCCTGAAATCCGCTGAACTTTTTTCCAAATCGATGAACCTTTTTTCAAATTCGGTGGCCTTTTTTGAAAATTGGTGAACTTACTTTATAAGTTTGGTGAACTTTTTTTTAAAATTCGATGAACTTTTTTCAAATTTGGTGAACTTTTTTCTGAATTCAATGAACTTTTTTCAAATTTGATGAACTTTTTTCTAAAATTCGATGAACTTTTTTCTAAAATTCGATGAACTTTTTTCAAATTCGGTGAACTTTTTCAAATTTGGTGAACTTTTTTTCCAAATTCGATGAACTTTTTTCGCATTTCATGAACTTTTTTCCAAAATCAATGAACTTCTTTCACATTTTTGTGAAATTTTTTCAAAATCATGAATTTTTTCAAATAGATGATCTTTTCTTATCATATTGGATGAACTTTTTCAAGATTTGATGAACTTTCTTTCATAAAAAATATAAAAACATTAGTTGTACTACGTAATAAATAACGCGCATACAATAGTTCTTAAAGATTTTGTGTTGCTCTTAGTCATAGTCGTCTAGAGGGCATAGTGGTTAGCTGAACCACGGATCAAAGCAGCGACCTGAGTTCGAGTCCTTATGCTTGCAAGTTTCTTGCGAAACTTTTTCGGACCGGTCTAGCCGGCGGCCGGGCGCTCGGTGCCGCGTGTCGAAATTCAGATCTTGTAAACCGCGTGTCGAAATTCAGATTTGTTTTCATCGTTGTAACCCTCGCGGCGTGCTTTTCAAAAGTAGATCATGGTTGCTAGACTACAATCTTATAGGAAGTTGAATCATGCAGATCCAAAAACTGATTTTACAAAAAGTTGCACGATGTATTATTAAAGTTGCACAATACAGTACTAAAGTTGCACCATATAGCATCAAAGTTGGCATCAAAATTTTTTTGTCGAAACATGCTCATGCTGGATCTAGTTTCAAAGATCTCGTCGCAAGAGTTCCAGCAGTGAAAACAGATCTGAATTCCGACGCGCGGTTTGAAAGATATGACTTTTTAAAATTTAAAACTCTGAAATGAATATGCGTGGATCCGTTCAGTTCGAAATGGAGTAATCAGTGTGAACACGTTTAATGCTAACAGCCACATGTATTAGAAGACGAAAAAATTAACAGCCACATGCATGTGAAACGCGGCCGCTCCATTCAACAAAATAGTGCGTATGCGCTTTTTAGATTTTAGAAACTTTTTCCACGAAAACAGCTTCCGCGCTGGTGCATTCGTGGGCCGGCCCACTTGGCTTTGCTGTAGGCGCCGGTTGACGTTCGCGGCGCCGAACTGAATACGAGCTCCCCAACTTTCGTCATGTTACACGTTTTTTCAACTTTCTAACATTGCCCTCGCTTCGCCACTCCTTACACATTTTTTTCATCGGATTTGCCTATTTCTGACGGCAGCCTGATTCTGCACGACGGCTGCTGGTTTCTGCCCTATGTTGGACCTGTATTTCCTCACAAATAGATGACCAGTATATGATATCAGTGTAAGTTATTATTGACATTGCACCCAATCAAATATTTACACACATTGTCTAAGCTACACAGACCCTTCAGATGAAATTACAAAGGATACAAAGTAGCCCGGGCAGCGTGTAACGAAGAACGTTAAAAATGAATCCTGAGAAGCAAGAGCGTCGCGATACTGATTGTCGCTAGGAGCTCAGCAAAACCCTAAGAATGCCCATGTGGATCTTACTCCAAGAGATCTCATCATGCATCCTCACCACCGATGAATTCTCATGGCGAATTCAGGAAAACCCGAAGGATGCTCGAGCAGGTCCTACAGCTAAAGATCTCATCCTGCATCCTTGCCACCAATGAATTCTCCGGTAGCATCCCAAGGCCTAGCTTCGAAAGATTTCCCGATCATACTCCTCTTCTTGTTTACTGTCCCGTCGTCACGCGCGTACTCGGGGAAATAGTCCAGGAAAGATTTACTTCCAAGAGAATACACTCCTTCGAACAGGAACTCCGTCACCAAATCCTGAATATCAAAGCAATAAGTAACTCTGCAAATAACATGAATTGGGTGTGTGTAAATAACTAAATATAGTGAATATCGCAGGAAGAGAAACCTTGGCATGGCTTTCACCAATCAACTTCTTCAGAAGTGGAAACCCAGGATCCTACCCATAGACAAGGCACGACATTAGTGGAAGATGCTCTGTGGCAGCTGCTTTAACAAATGATAATATCTAATGGCAGTCCTAATTTGGCGCAAGTAACAGTGTAATGACAAATAGTCAATGAATATAACTTTCTCCGCATGGGTTTTATGAAAAATACAAACCTTTTCAGCCCTCCATGTGAGATATCTATGTTGCGCTTCTCTGTTACGAACAACTTTCGTTGTGTCATTCTCTTCAGTTGCTTGATCCGTTAACTGAAGCCAAACCTGCGTCATCAGAAACATGAGAAAACAGAGCATGATACTTGAAATTGCATGTCTGGCACAACAGTTCAGAAATTTAATAAAGCAATCGTGAATACCTTATAGTAATCCAGCAAAGCTGAATATAGAACATGATGGTTGCGTTCAGTGGGCTCAAATATAGTCCAGATCACGATTGGAGAGAAGAATCTCAGAGATTCGCTCGTAATCTTGCCACCCCATGGCAGAAGCTGCATTTTCTCTAAATAAAGATAACACTCTATGTATAAAGCTAATAGAAAAAGACTGGGGTAATGCATTTGGGTGAAGGATAAGATCCAAGTACCTCACTATACTTCTGCATAAGGGGCATCAAATTCCTGTAGTATTTATCTTTGTAATCCTTGTCTTCAGTTATATCGTATAGCGGATTGAGGTCCCTGCAAGTAATTCAAATAGTTCTTTCAGGCCATTATTCATATTCTAGTTTAACCATAGTAAATAAGTCTTGAATGGCATACATATCATGGCACTTACAAGACAACGATACTCTGTGCAGGAGTCGTAAAAGCGTTGGCACAAAATATAGGAAGATCGTATTCAGGTTCAGAGAAAGCAGCAAAGTCGAGAACCTGCATGGGCATATGCATTATAAGTATAGCTTGGTGGATCATAAGCCTCGATAAATGAAATCCTCAATGACACTCCCTTGTCCCTTCAGTCATAAACTGAGTGATGAAACAGAGATAAGAGATTTCAAAAGGAAAATATCACCACTGATTCGACTGTACGATATTCATAGAACAAATGAAACCTGTAATATTATGGAACTTCAGATGTAATCAGATAGAACAAATTAAAGCTGTAATATTCAGATATAATCAACTTCACATGTACACCCATCTTTCAGTTCATAGCCTTCTGGGATAGTTGTTGGAGGGTTTTGGACAAGTGAACTTGGAGATGAAGTACCTGAACCGAGTTTTTCTTCTCAACTGTCAAGCTGCGAAGCAGTCTGATCTTGGGGGCACTCAAGGAGAGAGCGTCCAAAACAGCAGCATCGTCGTTGGCTCGTATGAGCCTGAACTTTTCCTGGGAGCATGACACAGGACAAAATCATCTTCTGTAATGACAAATGTGACTGGCGTCAGCCGACATCACAGGATACCTACACTTTAAGATGTTCTAGATGGACAATTGCATAAAAAAAATGCCTATACCAGACTCGGAGACTGACCCTCAACGGCTTAACTAGTCAATAATTATAAGTATATCTGAAGAAATAAGGCTCGTGCTTGGGGTCATTGTTTACAGGAGATCCTGGGCGTCAGACAAAGACCAAGCACCGAAATTCAGCCGGCACTAGTGCGACATCACAACAGTACTGATTTTGCTTCTCTGTTATAGACTGAATTTTCAGTTAGCAGGCGCATCTGAATTCGTGGAGCTAACGGGCTAGCATCGACACCTGTATGAAGTTACAGCTTTGCTAGTCACCTCGAGCAGACAGAGCATGCTCGCCAGCGCAGCGTGAACCGAACCAGGACATTGCAAGGTGGCAAGGAAAGAGGAACAGGGAGCTCAGCAAGGCGAGCAAGGGAAGGGAAGCAGTAGGACATGAACCAACCTGCGAGGGGTGGGGTGTGAGGGCGGTGCGGAGGCGGGTCTGCTCCAGCGCGGTGCGGACGAACCTCTGGTACGACGAGCCGGCGCCCAGCACTCCGGCGCCGCCGCCGCCGCTCATCCCCTCTGCTCCTTCCCCTCCCAGCCCAGTTGCTACAGTCCACTGCGGTGTGCGAGGCATGGATGAGAGGGGAGAGGCGAGGACACGTGGGAGGGATTCCCCATCGATCCATCCATCCAACCAACCAACCCATGCTGCACGCATCTTGATGTAATAATGCAGTTTCTTTTTTCCCAAAGAAGAAAGCAACTTGCAGAAACTTGGCCACTTGCCAGTACTACGTCAGGTTACAAATAACACATAGCCCCGCAGTAGACCCTAATTGTAACAGGATCCTTGTTGCAAGAGCATCTTGGCCAAGCCCATTGCCGTTGCAACAGGATCCTTGTTGCAAAAAGCATTGTAAAATTTGCGGAGCACGCACCATTGATGGTGGGTGGGGAGCTCGCGGCATAAATGAAGGGAGTCAAGAGGAGGAGGGCAAGAGAGGGGGACAAGCTTGATGAGCTCCGGGTATATTTGGGGGTAGCAAAGACCAACTCTTATGCCTGTCCCCGGTCTGAATCAGAGGAGGAGAGATCAGGGAAAACACCTGCAACAGTTCATGGCGGTCGATGCTATAAGAGCGGGGTGGTGAATGACAAAGGCTTGTTGCAAAGGGTGTGCTGGGAGAGGAGAGGGATAGCTGGAGGGAAGAGGAAGCTTCACGTTGATCTTCCCCACGGGGGCACGTGACGCCCGAAGGAGATGGACGTAGTTTTGTTTTCAGTCAGGTGATTTGAAGCGCTGTCGTGTAAATAAACACACATTTAAGCAGGTATAAAATGTAAGACGGTTTTTATTGCCTATGCAAAAAAAAAAGTCTTACATTTCGGTACAAAGGAAGTAGATCACATGAGGCGGAACCAAATCTTCTTGCCTAGGAGTATTCTGCTTAGGGAGAGCGCAGTTCCACCACCGGCCAGCGGGATGCTGCAACCACTACAACAATGTTATCTGTCCATTTCCAAGGGAATATTCCCTGCTTTCCTCATCACTCGCTAGGCCATGTTCCATCGCTGCTTACACCATTAGTCCATTACCATTACTATAGTATACTAAACTCTGAAGAATTATGCTCTACGATACGATCAGTAAGAATGTCTTGACACTCAAGAATATAATCCGATCGAGTATGTTGGTCACTGGGCAGAAACATTCAGATTCTGGATTCTCGCTTTAAACAAGTGCAAGTGCCGCTTCTCCCGTGTTTGAGTATGCTCCACTATGCTCGGCAAGCGTACATGGCTCGTTCGAAACTTAAAACCGAAGAACCTTTGTACTGGCATCTATTCCGGAAGGCAAAGCGCATCACAAGTTCAGAAAATACCGGACAGGAAAAATGCATCCCAAAGTTCAGGTTCAGAGAGAGCAGCAAAGTCAAGAACCTCCATGGGCATCAGCAGATATAATTATAGGAGTCCTACACTTTCAGGCATTCTAGACAATGGACAATTGCATACAAAATCTCTATACGTAGGAGCATGTTTCTTTGTTCGCCAGACACTTACTTACACGGCGGTGGCCGAGAGTGATGTCTGAACTCTCACTAGTCAATAATATGTCTGTTTATTCGTCTGTCGTTTCAGATGACAGAATAGCAGCATTCACATTGGAGATGAACCAAACCGAGAATCATAGGCTAAAACTCACGTCACAAACCAACTAACAGCAGCCAATCTGAAGAAATTAGGCTTCTGCTTAATTCGCAAAAACAAAGAAAAAAAAGGCTTGTGCTTGCTAGCTGATGATGTATTGTGTGTTGTTTTCAGAGCCTTTTGTAATGGATGCCATAACTTTCTCTGCTGGCTGTTGGTACTTAGCTTTCATCGCGTGTTTAACACTGATGTGGATTCATTTTCTCCTAAAAATAAGGCCCGTACTCGGGGTCATTGTTTACGAGAGATTCCTTCAGACTCCAGACACCAGGCACCAAAATTCAGCAGATAACCAAAATAAAAAATAAAAAAATCAGCAGGTAGCAGCGAGACCTGGCACACTCCGCTCCACCTGATGCTGCTGCCCACAGCGGTGCAAGCAGAGCATATGGTTGAGTGAGACGGGCGGAGCGGGGCGAAGCAGGTGCAGGTGTAGAGCCGGGCCGGGCCGGGTAACTGGCCCAGTACAAGCAGCACGCATCTCAGCGCAATGCATCTTTTCTTAGTGGTACGTTATTTGTTTTTTTCCCTGCTTATATGCTTAATCCACTTACAGCAGTCTGCGGATTAGAATAAAACTGTGAAGCGCGAGACCAAATCTTGCAGCTATTCTTCTGCTACTAGCCAGATAAACTACTAGGAATGAGGTACTTGGAGAGAAGTTCCACCACCGACCCCCCGCTGTGATGCTGCAATCAATCATTGCGGCATTGTTTACCACAGTTTGATCAGCAGCTGCCCCTTTCCTCGAGAATATTCCCGGCCTCGCTCCACTGTCAGTGGCTGCGAGCCCATGTTCCAAGCTTGATGCTAACACTACTGACAAAATAATCTCAAAGATATATATATTTCCCAGATCGGTAAGAATGTTTCGACACTGAGCACCAGGTTAGGACAAGACTATTCGGAGGGTTCAGGTCCTGGAATCTCTCGGTTAAAAAAATGCAAGTGCTGGGTTTACTAGTGCCCCACTATGCTTGGGCTGGCGTGCAGCACCCGTTTGGAAGCACGAGGCACAGGGATTCCAAATCGGAGTGGCATCCTGCAACGGCACTGTAGAAATTTCCACCCTCGAACAAAGTCTATGCGAGTGCAGTCGTGCATTGTACTACGCCTGATGTGTAGCGCACGCAGTACATATATTTCAACAGCAAAAAAAAGAGTAGTCTGAACCCACAAGACGAAGACCCTCTTGGACGCAACTGAAAACCCAAACAAGAAGACGAGCTGAACCGACGGGCGAAGAATTATATGGCGCCGCAGTTTCCAGGTTATGAGCGTCCATACGTCCAGATTCCCAACAGAAACACAGATCCAGACATCCAAATCATGATTTCTGGTCCTCAGACGTCACCACCCACAGCTCACAAACGCGTGAAAAGAGGTTGAAACCGAAAGCAGAGATGACAAGAACAATATGGCAAAAGAGTCGATTAACCGGCAACCTCACCAATTCCATTATATCTCAGATCTTTAGATAATCGCGAGACAATTATTCGCGAGAGATTTCTGGTTATTACGTACTCGGCACCACCAAGAAGACAAAGAAACAAAGAATCTACTAACGCACGTACGCTCTAATGCCCGCCCTTTAATCCTTGAATTATGTACACTTAATTCCCACTTAATCTGCACCGCACGCGAGAGGAAGGAGCGAGGAAGGCGTGGACGAAATCAATCTGTCCGCGGACGACAACGGATTGAATCCAAGAAGAGGGAGGACGGATCAGGCCATCTTGGCAGCGAAGCCGGCGGCCATCATGACCTTGAACTCGTCGAAGGAGATGAGGCCGTCGCCGTTCTTGTCGACGCCCTCGATCATGCGCCGGCACTGCTGGACCGTGGCCTTCTCGCCGAGGCCGTGGAGCACGTGCGCCAGCTCCGCGGCCGAGATGTCGCCGCTGCCGTCCGCGTCGAACACCTTGAAGGCGAGCCGCAGGTCCTCCTCGTCGTCGCCGGGCGCCGTGGCGTTGAGCGCCGCGAACTCCTCCAGGCTGATGAAGCCGTCGCCGTCCGCGTCCGCCTCGAACATCATGCGGGTCAGCTCGTCCTCGGTGGCCGCGTGGCCCAGGCTCTCGAAGAGGGCGGCCAGCTCCGGCCGCGAGATCCGGCCGTCGCCGTTGGCGTCGAACTTGCGGAAGACCCGCTCCATCTCCTCCTCCGCCGACCGCGCCGGGGACCCGATGGCCTGCCGGCTCTCCTCCTGCTGCTCCTCCCGGGGAGGAGTCGTCGGCGGCGACGCGGAGCGCGACTTGGAGGAGGAGCGGCGGCGGAACAGGGCCGGCATCTTCATCTTGCCCATCGCCGTCGACGTCTACTTAGCGGCGCTAGCAACGAGGAAACTCTTCTTGGCTTCGGTTCGCTCGATTCGATCGATGGCGTGCTCTGCGGTGGTTGCAGGTTGGTTCCAGAGGGAGACGTGGTGTATTTATACACAGAGGAGGAGGAGCCACCATTGGAGGGAGGAAGGAGCGGAGGAAGGTGCGCGTGGTCTCTGACGGTGGGCCCCGTCGCGGACAGTGAGAGGGGAGGCCCGGTCCCGCACGCGTCAATTCCATCGCGGCTTACCGTATTACGCCAACGGCCGTGATGACCGTGTCCACGACTCATCCCCTTCTTGTGTTGCGGAATTCTTTTCTGATCCGCACGGCCGCACGGTAGATGCACAGGGCCAAGGTAGGTCTCTTTCGCCGCGCCGGCGAGTCACTCCCCTCTGCAACTTAACTCCGGCGAAAGTTTCAAAATGAAAAAAAGAACTGACTCCGGCGAATGTTGGTCCTCGTCTCGACCCATGACCGGCGAGCACGCTCGGTCCATGGCCGATAGTTTGCCACGCTTCATTTGTGGTTTCGTACATCGGCACATAGCCAATAGTTTCTTTTTTTTTGAGAAAGACATAGCCAATAGTTTGCCACGCTTCATTCGTGGCAATCCACAAACTAGACGGATAAATTAGTCAACACAAGTGCGGCAACATTTGAGTAAAATATGAGGGTAGTATGTCAATAATATTCCTTAAAAGAACATGTTAGATGACTTGCAGCCGCGTACGTCAAATCTGACCCCACAAATGTTCGTTTCCACAACCCGGATACCTCAATTATGAATCCTCAAATCCATACAATTTTCTTCTTAATGAACACACATATCTCGTGTTGGTTACTTGAGAGAAGAATCTAACACATTTGCGGAAAAGTTTAGCGCGAAGAAATGAACATGTTGTTACGCTTCTTGCTCGGACATTCCTAGGTACCACACGTCACATTTATTATGGTATGTTAGAGCATCTACAACCACGCATCAAAAACTGGGCCTCTCTACGGCTATGAACAATGCCCGATCATCCCTCGAATGTCCGCGTCCACATCCATATCCCTATATCCACCCCCTGAATTCCATGCAATACATACAATGTGAATAACACAATGTAGATCGACATATACATAGTATTCACATCTAGGACCAGACATAGAAAATTTTAAATTAACAAGTTCGACATATCTACATTAAAAAATATGGTAGCAAACTAAGAGGGGATGTCGGGTACCACTGCCTCCTCGCCGGACCCTTCCCTTAGCGTCTCCGGAGGCGGAGCCATTCCCCTACCAGAGGGGATGCCAGAGAGACGTCGGGCGGCGCAGGCTTGCTCCTTGGCAAGGTGCAGGCTCTCGTCTCATCGGCGGCCTTCTTCTGAGTGAACCACTCGGACTCCTCGATGGCTAGCCGCATTGAAGCGACAACTTTGCGGCGGCAAGCGTCCATCTTGACCAAGATGAAGGATCGGTGGAGCCCTTCGTCGAGGAGCTTCTCCTACGAGTCTGAGGGCACCTAGACGGCCTTGGTCTGGTACGACCCACATCCGGAATGGCTTGATGTGGACTTTGCCGCTCTTTGTCGGGCGTAGCGAGGCGCCCTTCCCTCTGATTGTTGTGGCGCGGACGACACATGCTGGTAGTGCGGGCACGAGCACCCACTGCCGGCCCGGGGTTGGGGAAGCAGCTTCCGAAGGGGACGACCACGAAGCTCGACATGTCGGGGCCGAATGAGACGGGTTGACATGGTCGACTGCCCATCTTGCCCACTATCGAGGATGGGCAATGTCTAGCCGCGATAGAGGATGGGCAATGCAGAGCATGAGCTCCTCGTCTTCTAGGGCTTCGCTTCCATAGTCCTTGTTCAAGAGCCCGTCCCAGTGGATGGAGCCAGATTCACTGTTGCAGCCGGGCATGCTGGAGGGAGGGGAGAAAATAGGCAGTGGAATCGGAGCCATCGATATTCGAGAAGAGTGGACTGCTAGGCATTGGTCCGAGGCGGGGTAGGCTAGCGAGGACGGGATCCGATATGGCTGTCGCATCCCGACTACCCTGCATATGGGCTAGGTATGCGGGGTACCGGACAGCTCGAACGTATAGGGACGGTTTGAGGGGTCCGGTTGAGTGGCCAAATCGTGACTGGGTAGTGAACCAACACATATTCAAACATTATACCAGTGGATTCACATGTGGGATGTGGCATATACTCCCTCTGTCTCATAATGTAAGATATTTTTTTAAACTACACTAGTGACAAAAAACGTCTTATATTATAGGATAGAGGGAGTAGCTCATATTTTGCTTGCCCAGTTAAGATGTCTTTTTAAAATTTCCCGCAAAAAATGTGTTCATTTTTAAATTTGTACGGACATAGCGTTTTTTTTTCAAAAAAAAATGCAGTGGGGCGATCAGGAGCAGTACTTGCCTCCAATAAAACACCCAGAAGTCACACAAACGTCGTGACTTGAACACAAAGTCACGTGCAAGATGTACTACTTGCTGCTCCTAACAAGATACGAGGACACGCCTAACATGAAAAAGGCAGTACCCGAACCCGAGAATCATGCTATGCGCATGACTGTGTGGACCACGGTAGTATCATCCACGCGCAAATGTTCATGTGGGTACGGGTACATGGCAAGAAAAGCATTTCTTGCGGTGGTGGTGCACGTTTAATTCCCCCATAAGTCCATAGACCTTTCGTGCTGTACCCTGCGCGCTTTGTTAGGTTGCCGTGGTTACCGTTAGGTCGGTATCGTGCATGGTAGTAGCATGAATATATATAGCACCAAATGTTTGGCACGGAGAGAGAGCGCTCGTGTAGAATTGCTCTTTCGGGCCGCAACGGTTTTGTGGACTCGTCACGACGCGCTTTGCACTTGGTCACGTGCACGCATTCTGCACCGTAGTCTCGTGAGAGCTAGGTGCCCTACTTTGGAGTATTAACGTCTTCCGTCGGTTTACCAGCGGTACGATCCTACTTATGCTCCACGCAGCAGGTTTTCTCCCAGATCACTAATTAACCATGTCTGTGCTTATAGATATCCGTTTGGCTAATGGATTATTGTCGATCTGCGCATGCAGACTTACTATTTTTCTTCTTGCATAAGCAAATACCATTGACGAACCATTGACGATGCATGGAGTAGGATGCCGGCGAGAGCACGCACACGTACGGCGTTCGACCGGAGACGCACCGCGCCGTCCGCAGTATAGCTATCGTGCCTAGAGCTAGCTTGCGTAACGTAACGGCGAGGCGACGCGCCGTGCTGGGGAGCCGAAGCTGGAAACCGTTACGGCCCCGGGGCCCCACCCCACCTGCGCCGCTCTCCCTCTCCGTGATCCAGGGAAGGAAGGAAGCAGAGCCGTTGGAGTAAAGAAAAGGAAAGGAGGAGGAAACCGCGTGATGGAAAGGCGCGTACTACTAGTACCTGCCTGCGTACCTCGCTTGCGTTGGCATCTGCGGTGTCGCGGGCCCGTGATTCACTTTCCTGTTTTTTTTCTCCCTTGGTGTACGTGTGCGCCCGCCCGTGTGCGGCTCTAGGGGTGGAAACGTATCGGATAGTGCTCTTACCACTTTCATTTTCAAATTTTCAAAACGAATATAAATCCAAATACGGATGTTCTTGGATACGGATACGGCTCAAATATTATTCGAATACGGATACATATCAGACATTTTCTTGATTCGGAACGGATACAAATAATATCAACATATTGCTTAAGTAAATTATTCGATAGCTATGTGACATAAAATAATCAACTTATGACATACAATAAGTCAATGATAAATAGGTTTATGAATAAATACTATTTTAATGCAAAATAATTTATAAGTTTAATCATATAAAGAGTAAAATTTGACCACTTATTTCGCTTTTATGTTGGACAATTGGAATATTGGCCCTAGAATTTTAATAAATACCTCCCATAATCTTATTCGGATACGGATACATCCACTTCCATATCCATATTTGTGTCAAAATCTCCTACCATATTTTATTTTGTATTTGTTTAATAAATTCGGATACGGATAATTTTCATTTCCATTTTGGTTTGGATGCGGATGTTTCGGATACGAATAGGCATTTTCTCGAATACGAATATCGGATATTTCGGATTATCCGCCACCACTTTCCACCCCTATGCGGCTCTGTATGCTCCGCTCCGTCGCTGTCGCTCGCTCCGTCGGCTGGCAGCGAGGCTGCGGGTGGGCCGCCGTGCATGGCGCACCACACGGTGAGTCTCGACAGCCTATGCATGTGGTGGTACGCTTTACGCTGTGTATGTGTGGGTGGCTGTGGTGAAGCCGAAGCTGAAGCACCAGCCTCGTCCCCGGCGGCGAAGCGCCACCGTGTCCAGGATCTGACGGACGCGAGGGGCCGGCGCGCAGGACGTCAGCGTCAATGTAGCGAGCAGCTGCTGCGTTACGCATGGCGTCGTTGATGATCATGGGCCCGTCTTGTGTTGGTAGAGTAACGTGAGAGTAGTGAGCCCTCGCTGTCTGTCTCTCCCGGCCGGCATCTGCGCGCACGCACTGCCCCGGCGGTCCCTCCCTTGCGAGGACCTTTGGGGTGCACAGCAATCAATGGGCAGGAAGCAACCCGCCTCTTTAACATGCACTTTCCTCTGCCAGCTGGAGTAAGTATAGTGCAACTTCAACCCCATGTATCAAAACACCCGTAAATGGCGAATCAACCTGTGGTTGAGATGGTTAGGTGGACAGTGGTATCCCCAATCCACCAGGGTTCAAGTCCTGGTGCTCGCATTATTTCTGGATTTATTTCAGGATTTCCGGCGATGCGCTTTCAGTGAGAGGAGACGTTCCCGTCGACGACGAGGCGCCTACGGTGAATTCGTAAATCTCAAGATGATGTGCCGGCTCAGTCTTTCGGAGGTGCTCATAGGGGTAGGATGTGCGTGTGTGCGTTCATAGGGGTGAGTGTATGCACATGTATACGAGCGCTTATGTCTGTACTGATGCTCAAAA